CTTCAGATGGAGACGGGAAGCGTTTGCCAATTGGGAGAAAATGGATTTCAATTGGGCATTTGGGGAAAATTGGATAATGGATCGGGTTTAGTGGATTACAGGTGGGCTTGAGCTTGAGAGTTTTATGTTACTCTTGGCTGGGCCTGGGCTGCCATTACTCAAAAAGGGGAAAAAAAAAAAAAGGCCAACAAAATGAGGGCCCCTTGGATTTTGGGCCTGAGGCGCAAGCCTCATCCGCCTGGCCTCAGAACCGGGCCTGACTCTCAGCCTAAGTATCTAGTGGCGGATCCAGGAAAAAATTCAATACGGGCTAATACGTATAAAAAAAATATTGCACATAAAAAAAAATATTTTACTTAAATTTTTTTTAACGGATATTTGGGACGAAGGGACGGGCTGGGTTGTGGACGGCCTGTAGCACAACCCAACCCGTCCCTGGATCTGCCCATGTAAGTATCGAATTGAAGATTTGTCTCGTGTCTTGAAGAATTTGGTTCAAATAACCGAACAAGAAGAGGTGGAAATCCTATGCAATATTACAATCCACTAGTGTGAAGATTATATAGAAGAGAACGGGAAATGTTATCGTATTCATCTAGTTGGACCAATATTGTTGTATTCGTCAAGCTTTTTTAATTACGTTGTTGTATGCATTTATTATAAAGTTTGAACATTGTAGACTTTAAATTTATGTTATATAATATTCGTGTGTTTGTAATTTGAAAATATATGTTTTGTTTGTCCAACCTGTGTACATGGCAATCCATCTCTCTATACATGGCATGCCAACGCTATACGTTCTATGTTTTAGGTATGAAGGGATTGAAATTACGTGGGTTACTTTTGGAAATAGTATGTGAAGACAGATTTTGTTTCTTAATAAAATAAAAACATGAAAGGAAATCCTAGCCTTGTCTTTGCTCATATGAATGTTAAATTGCCTTTGGTAAAATTCAAATTTCAATCACTGAATTCCAGGCAAAGAAACGTGAAATTAAGTAATGAGGTTCAGTTTCCATCCGCAGTCAAACTAATGAAGTGAAAAACTTTAGCCAATCAAGTGAAAAATGCCAATTAAAATAACCTCAGAAAGTATTAAATGCAAACAAATCTCATAAATAATTATACTATAGTTTGTAAAAATTTGTAGTTTTTCCACCGTTCACAAGACTACCTCATTAGCTAATTATAAAGAGAATTTTTTTACACTTCAAATTTAATTGTAAATTTTGCCTGTATTGAAAATTTTTTCTGGCTCTGCCCCTAGACCCAAGGGGTTCCCATAGGGTCACTTGACCCTCCAGTTTTTTCAACTTTTTTTTGTCTTAGTTTTCGAACTCACTATAGAATATCAGACGAAGTTGAAATATTACATTTTAAATATCATTTTGAAGTACTTACGGTACAATATTTCACGTAATTAATGGTGTGCAAAATGGCTAATCGTAGCAAATGTTACGACGTGTTAAAGTAGGCCATTCCAAACTAATATTTCGAAAATTTCGATAACAAATTAACTTTAAAGTTTTTTTGATGATTATACACTAGTCGTATTCATAAATCTTCTATATCCTCTGAAAACTCATTTCGAGAATTATATCATAAATATATCAAATGATCTAAATGAATATCGAAAATAGTTAAACGTACGTCAAACATGTATGCCAAAAAAAGATGTATAACTCGTAAAAAAAAATCAATTATTTTATTAATGTTTATTTCCACAATAAATTTTTCAATATAATAGATATCATTTTATTAGGAAATTTTATGTGGTATGACG